GTCAATAGTCTAATAATCAGAGCTTTAAAAAGCAAAAGAAGCTGGGAGACTGAAGCAGAGGGACCACACGTTTGAGCCTAGCCTAGGCACCTTAGGAAGCAGGTGAGACACTGTCTCAAAAACAAAAGGGGGTACCAAGGATCAATCCCTAGCACCACAACAAAAGTAAAGGAAAGCAAAGCAAAGCAAAGCAAAAGGGGAGGGAAGCAAGGAAGGAAGGAAGGAAGAAGGTTTTATGTCTCACAAGCAGTATTTTGCTAAGTCTCCCTCCTATTCATGAATGTTTTGAAAAAATTTAGAGGTGCTGGTAAGGTGCCACATGTATTCCTAACATCATTTTCCAGATTCTAAGCTCTTGACCATCTGCAGCATCGCACCATGAGACCAAGGTTCTTGACTGGCAGCTCTGGCTCTGGCAATACCATTCCGCAATAATGACAGTGAGAGCACGGGGTTTCACATGCACTTGCTCGATGTTGATCGTTTATCTTGCTCAGAATCAAGAAGCTAATGACTTAAAACCTTGGTTGAAATTAGTTCAAAGTCTGTATTTTAATGAGATTTATTTGCACGTTTCTTCTAGAACACTATAAAGGTAATTAGTATCTTTTTGTAAATTCTTATGTTTTTAAATTGACAAAAGAAATTATACATATTCATGGCATATATGTTTTAAAATAAGTATACATTGTGCATAGGTAACTGCGGTATTGAACATATGTATTACCTCATATACTCAGTCATTTTTTTATGGTGAGAACATTTAAAACTGTTTTCTTAACTTTCAAATGCAGTGTGCCTTATTGTTAACTGTAATCACCATGTTTTGTACTAGGTCTCTGTAACTTATTCTTCCTATCTGATACTTTGTTTCCTTTGTCCAGCATTTCTCTAGTTCCTTTTCCACCTCCTGTTCCCTCATAAACACCATTCTTACTTTCTGCTTCTGAGTTTGTGTGCTTCAGATTCCACATGTAAGTGAGATCATACTGTAGTTGTCCTGTGTCTGGCTTATTTCACTTAATGCAGTGTCTGTTTGAAAACAAAGTACGTCTCCTTGCCTACTGTATTACATATGATACTACAAGAGCATGACAGTACAATGAGTTATGTATGTGTGCATTATATTAAGTGCATATATGTCACATACATGAATATGTTATATATACATAGTCCTTTTTCTTTAATGCATAATTTTAAGTAGCTTAAAATGCTTCTCTTTAAATAATTTCTCAATTTGAGGGTGGCTGTATACACAAGAATAATATGACTTGAAACCAAAAATGGGTAGGAATTTCTGGCTAAAGGTCAGTGAAAATAAAAAGGTATAAGTGTATTTCTTCATATCATGAAAGACTCCATCTTGTAGTTTCCATGCCTTCTTCCCCATTTGTACTGATTTTTCAAAAACCTACAACAAATGGGGTGTTACTTATGAATACTTGCTGTATATTTATGTAATTGTTTTCACATTTCTGCCCTTCATCTTATGGTCTGAAAGTGTGTCCAATGACTGATTAAAATGATTCAACCATATTCTTCAAGAGACGTTTAGTTTCAGTATGCTTGAAAAATATTTGGCCAAAAATAGTAGTACTATTTGATGATGACCAACAGAAAAAATAAACAAAACACACTGGAGTGATAGTTCAGATCTGCTCATTTCCGCTGGACTCTGTGTGATACAAAACAAAATCTACAGGGACTACAACAGCTACAGACAGCTTGGCAGCAGGAGAAGGTGGGATGTGGACTAAAGCATGAGAGTCCAAAGTGCTTTACACTGGCACCGCTGTAGAATGTTTGGCTTCCTCTGGGGCTGATTGGGAGGAACAGCTGTGCCTTCTCCCAGATAAGATGACACCCTCTAAGAGAAACAGAGTACTAATTAGGTAGAGATTAATTCCTCTTTCTATCAGTCTCCTTAAAAATAAAACACTGATAGAAAAGTCCAAAATGTGGGGAGGAAAAAAATCCATTTCTTTGGGATACAACAGTTGCTTCCGTTCTTAAGAAAGGTGTTTCTACTACTTCACAAATACTAAAAGAACCAATTTCAAAAAAGGTAGCATGTGCAGTAAATTTATATTTTTACATCTAAGAATTTCTTAAATATATTTAGCCAAAATGTATTACAGAAAATGTCAAAGTTTTGGTGTGCTAGAGTGTAACATCTGAAGTATCATTAACAGACTTACACCGTCAGTATTATTTTAAAATTTATTTATAGCAATATTTGTAAATAACAATGCATTTTAATCATGACTAAGAAAGCAATATAGGAATTAAGTCATGTATGCAAAATATTACAGCTCAGATTAAATACATTAAAGTTTAATTTATGTAAGAATATATTCTCTAGAAACAACCAGAGGTTTAAACTATAGCTCTAATTAAACAATTTTATACTTACATTCTAAAGATAACTGACACTAACTGCAATTCAAGAAATTTACAAACTAGTGAGGCATTTCTATTAAAAGAACGTAGTTACTCAATATAAAAATGAAAATATAAGAAAAGTACACTACTAAAGTCTAAGAGTAATAAATTTAGATAATCACATTACTAATATTATGAAACCAATTCAGAAATTCCAAACTATCATTTCACCATGAGGTCACTTATTATTTTTGTCTGGGTCTTGTATAACATTCGTGCCCTAGGGAATATATTTGTCCCTGAGGAGAGGCTGGGAAACAAGACAGAAGTAGAGCCTGCCCTGACAGGGCTTCCAGTCAAGCTGGGAAGAGCAGATGGGCAGTTTCCTGCAATTTAAGAATAGAAGTGTTTGGCTGGGGTCTCCCAACCTAGAGGAAGCAAGAGCTCAGTTGAGATCTTAGGATAAAGGTAAGTTAATCAGGCAAAGATGAGCAGAAAGAAATGGAAAGAAGTTTCCAAGCAGAGGGAGAAGGAAATGAACAGCCTTGAGGTGCAAAAACCTTGATCATCTACAGCAGTAGTTCCTGTGGAAAGGTTCTCATATAACTCACTAGACCTCAGTGAAATTTTCACTTATCCACAGAGGAAAAGGACAGCATGGTATTTCCAGCACTATAGTCATTCAATTTTTTTTTTTTTTTTTTTTTTTTCCATGGTTTTATTTTTGGTTCTTCTTTGCAAGG